TGTGTGTGTGTTTGTGCGCGTATGTGTATACTCATAGCTAACGCCAGAACGAATGAAATCTCTAACAAAAAATAAAAAATATATCGTTTGAAGGCAACGTTTTTATACCCACAAAAACAAGGCCATTGTGGTAGCTCTGTATTATAGAGGGGCACTATGCAAGCAAAAATATATTGGAATGACAAGCTAGAAAAATAAGTTTGAAAAAAAAAGACGAACCGGAATTTTCAGGGTAATAACTCTTTGATACATGTACTGGGAAAGGCTCGAGTTTGATTCCTTGGTGGATTGGATAGGACACTGTGTTCTTACGGAAAAGTGTATGACTCCATTTTCATTTGTTGACACGGCTGCAAGTGTGAAATTGGCAATGGGTAGAGACTGAATTTGTAAATGATGGCGGAAAGTGTCTTAAGGACTTTACCGCTGGATGCCCCCGAAAGCAAAAAATATAATAATGTGGACGGAGCTGGTTTATGAACGTAGCATTTTGAGGGGCACAGAGTCAAGAATAAACACGAATGTTTTTGCGTTTCGGCCTCTGGTTAAGTAACTCAGCCCAGTTTTCTTAATTAAAGGGTAGATTTTGCACCCCTGGTTAGATATATTGCATAAATAGCAGACCCTTGATTTGCTTACAATATTGTCACATTAAACACTTTGAAATTCTTCATGAATTCCAAAGGGATTCTTCTCTTTCGTATGAAAAAAGGAAAAAAATTACAGCTCTAATATTTTAATGTGGCTCATTTTGTACAGTGGTTGCTATCTGTGTTGTCATACCGTCGAGTAGATAAAGCTGTGAAACACTAGCTACCAGGCCGACTTCAAAAGTGCCTTGGAATCTCGACAGAGAATAAAGACATTGGTCTAGGAACAAACAAAGATTGAGAAGAATTTATATCGCGAATTTTCCTGCCAGGACGACGTATGCCTCTCAGCCCGGGTTAGCCTTGATAGGCATGATCGGATCCCACCTAAAAAGTGATCTTAAATGTAACGATGGAAAAAAAGGGGGGGGGGGGGGGGTTCAAAGGCCCGGGGGGGGGGGTAAACACCTTCAATGATATAAAATCGATGTTGTGTCATGACCTGAGACGAAAAAAGGTTAAGAATATAGACGTTCCGAGAGGTCTTGTTTGTAGTTTGTCTTTTTAGTAGTGTTAAAGGCTAATGATGACAATGTTTCGCCAAACATTTCGTGATAAATAACTGTTCTATCACACTGACCTTGTCAACTGGTGTCCGTGGTGTAGCGCTGATCGCTTCAGCTGTCACACTCGTGAAGACACCAGTTCTACCCCTGTGTAGGGACGGGCGGGGGGCGGTGTTGCCTTTTTATTTGTTTTGCACTTTTGTTGTTGTTTTGTTTTGTTTCTTTGTGGGGGG